ATCTATCTATCTATCTATCTATCGATCGATCTATCTATCTATCTATCTATCGATCGATCTATCTATCTATCTATCTATCGATCGATCTATCTATCTATCCATCCATCTATCTCTTCTGATACCAACCTGGTTTATGAAAATCCTCTGACTGTATATTGTATCAAATGTTTAAATTTACTTTACGTGTCTATTTTCAGGTAAAATATCATTCTCCTGCTTTTTCTCTGCCTTGGTTTTCCTCTTTTTTACATGCAGAGGTCAGAGGTCAGCAGGATGACCTGATGTAGGCTGACAGACACAGACCATGCTTCTGTTTCGCTCACAGCTATTTTTCACTACTTTGTTAAAGCAGAGCATGATGTCAGCTTTAAAGCCCGTCCTTCTCTCCAGATAAAGGAAAGAGGAAATATTCTTTGTGAAAATCTTACATAATACTCGGCGTTCAGTCTGGGAAGCGAGGCGGCTCTGTAAGGGCTGCCCAGGTTGGGATATCCTTCTGCATCTGAAAGGTTCTCCCCCTCTGTAAGCTCAGGCACATCGACCACATCCTGACAGGAGGGGGGAGAATAGGAGAGAATCAGAATGCTCTAACATATATCAAATATAACAATTCATTACATTTTAATTAAGGTAGTGGACAATTGAGGTTTAAATTTTGAAAAAAACTAAACAAAACTAAAAGTGCACAGAGAAACTGAGTGTTTTAGGTTTTTAGACCTGTTGGGGGCAGCATTCTGCAGCAGGAGGCTGCTGTTGTCTCGTATGGTCAGTTTGTGACACTGACATTGTTTATGTTTCCCTCTAGATGTTTGCACTTCTTAAAGATAATGTAAATGTACTAAATGGCACTTATAAAAGAACTGAGTACAATGTGAGTCTGGAACCTGATATGTCATAGAAATCAATGGACTGGGTTTAACATGTTTGTACCTGTTCTTGAGTTCTGGTGGTGTACGGCACATCCTCGGACTGACCCCTCTGTAATATCCTCTGAGGTTTGGGCCGTTGAGCTCCCTGGGAAAAGTCTCCAGACTGGGAATGTTTGATGCAATTCCTCTGGTTCAGTCTGCACAGACATTTTCAGCCTCTTATTCTTTATGATTTTACTCAACTCTTTCTCCATCAAGACAAAGACTGTTTTTTTTTCATTGTTAGGTCACAGCACAGCTTTATTTTAAGCCTCAGATGTTATTAACTCCTCCAGGAGGCTCAGAACAAAAAGCTGCTGTACTTAACGTTCCCAAGGCAACCGCTAATGACACCTGCTGGCCAGTTGCATAAGAAGAGAGGAGAGAATGTGACTCATAATTGAGTGTTCCATCAAACACAGAGAACCTTTGTGGCTCAGTTACTTACATGATGTCTCTGTGTGTTGATGCGGTGGTGGATGGAGCTGCTCTGCTGGTATTTGTGGTACAGTGGGTGTCAGAAGTGGGAAGTGCTGCTGGTTTCTCATCCTCCTTGGCTGGGAGGGGCTGTTTGGGGCTGCAGGTTTTTGGTTCGACTTCCCTTAGGTGAGTGAGGGGGAGTATCGGTCTGAACAGGGCCCCCAGTTTACTCTGAAGAACATACCAAAGCAGTCACACAGAGTCAGACCTTGGGTTCTCATGATTACAGCTGTGGACATATTGGCTTCGTTACTCTGTGCCGTCTGGTACCTGCGGTCCAGAGGGGTGCTGCTGCTGCAGCCTCCTGGCTCGGTTCTGTTTGTAGTAGTCAAAGATCATGTGAGCAGCGTAGACCTTCCCGACTGTCAGCTCGTTGTCTATAGAAGAGAGGAAAGAAAAGAAAGAGATGCAGGTCTCTCATCATGCCAATTAAATGGCATTGTTTTTATTTGCACAGCAGGCTTCAATTCTTCATTCTTCTGATTTTTGATGTCAGAACCCTTCCTTTGGCCCTGAGGTGGGCCATGTGAGCGGTAAATAAGGAGGCTATACATCAGTCAGATCAGATCTGGAGTCCTCAGAAAACCTTCATCTCTGCCCTTGCCCCCCAAAACAGACCTCTGGATACAAAAGTCCTGCTGAGACTTTATTCTGCTTTCACCTCAGGTCCTGAGTGGATGATGGGTGTAAGGCATGCTTGATATTTGTATAATTTCAAAAAAACCACATAAGGAGCCATGTTTGTAACATGTTGCTACAGTGACCTTAGATCAGGCATGGGCAAACTAAGGCCCGGGGGCTGGATGCAGCCTGTTCAGCTTTTTAATCTGTCCTGCCAAACGTATCCAAATTCCATACATCCATCTATCCATTTTCATCCGCTTATCCGTTACCGGGTCACGGGGGCAGCAGTCGCCACCCAAATCACATTGCACCGTACCAACCCGACCTAAACCTTCCTGCGGGTGGTGAGTCCACTGGAAGGTACCAACTGCCCTAACAGGGATTCGATCTTGCCCAGGAGGTGAACCCTGGGGTTCCCCACCAATGACAGAGACAAAGCGCCACCGTATCCAAATTATATAATTTAATTATATAATCATTATACCTTTGCCTTTTCCTTGCAATACCCATGTTTCCCTAATAGATGGCGCAGAAATGCCAAAAGCATTATAGCATTTTAGCTCTTGATACATAACCTATACATGTTATTTATCTTAGCTCACACGAATGCTCCAGCTATCTGCTCCTGACCCGGCCACCTGTTCAATTTTGTGTCCCGCAAGTCAAAAGGTTTGCCCACGTGTGCCTTAGACTGACATGAAGGATTTGTTTTAGATGGTCATAAAAACATATCAACTGTAGACAAAGAGTCAGATCTGGACCTCTAGGTGAGAAACAACCTATGAGGACTGAACATCCTCTTCCTCGGTCAGTCTTAAAGACAGGACCAGCTCGTACAGAGACCTCTCACCGCGAAAATAAAAACTCTATCTTTAGTTCAGCGAGCGAGTGAGTTCAAACGTTCTGAGAATAGAGCTCACATTTGTGTGGAGTCACCAGGAGGTCCACAGTTTTCTGTGACAGATTCGGCCAAACTCTGTTGATCTCTCTCTTCAGGTCAGCATCACACAGATGCTGAGCCAGGACTCCTGCGAAGAAACGCGCACACACAAAAGGATTAAACCAAGTCTCAAGACTCAACATTGACTTTACGTCAGTCTTTGGAAGAGCTCCAAGGAATTCTGGGTACTGCAGTTTTTGGTGTCTGACCTGAGGCAAGTTTGATTTCCAGCGCTGTGCGAATTAAAGCCATGAGTGTGGAAGTGAACTGGACAGTGTTGTCCTCAGATATGGGCATGTTCATCTTCACCAGACGCTGGTGAACGAAGAGGAAGATAAGGAAAAACAAATCAAATGGCAATAGAACTATAGTAATAGTAGAACAGAACTGGTGTAACGAGAGAGTTTGGTCATGTGCGCTCCCATCATGCAGAAACATGCAATAATAATTGTACTGAAGAGACTTTAGCAGGCAGCATGCCAGGATGTGAAACAGATGAAAATAGAATTTTTTAGAATTTAAAACCCATGTGAATAATCCATTAGAATAAACAAGAAAAAAAAAAAAACGACATTAACACAGAAGAGGAAACTACAGCCAATGAGAAATGTTTGAATAAGGTCCTTTAATCAACACTAACCAGAAATAAACTCTTTTGTAAAATTTTCTAGGTTGGATAGATCAGTCTTTCGCAACCACAACCCCCTAATGGCACAGGAGGGCGCTGTATGGAGGTAACTACTACTTAGTTTTATATTAGAATATACATATTCTTTATAATAAATATATATAAGGAATTATTGATTCTTTTCAACCCTAAAAACAGAGTTAACAACTTGATGTTTTTCATTAGTTCAGGCCTAAAGATAGATTTTTTTATTTTGGAAAATCTTACATTATCAAAATGATTAATTATGGTCTAATATAATTAACATAAAAGAGCAACAAACAGCGAGAGAGAGAGAGAGAGAGAGAGAGAGAGAGGCTGACATTGACAAACAGACAGAGGCCTGGTGCGAAAGGTCACATACAAGAGGTGGGAGAGGTTCTACCTTATAGGCAACTCTGGATGGACATTTCTTCCCCAAACCTAGTGGTGGGGACATATCACGGAGCATCTTGTACATATCACAGTAAGTCATGCGGCCACTTCCCAGAGGAAGATGACGGATGGAGCAGTTAGTTTCCCAGAGGAGAAGGTGCAGGGAGGAAAGGGAGAAAATGGGGTTGAACAGAAACGTGAAATGATGGGAATAAAGGAGAAACACAGAAATCTTTGTTAGTAAGATTTCCAGGATAGAATAATCTGAAGTCCATCCAAGCTGGATTTACAGATTCAGGATCGGAGGACGACGGAGGCTCCGTGTGGATTCTCTGTAAACAGCCACCAGGTGGCAGTGAAGGAGCTGAATAAATATTCCACGGACAAACTCTACCATCAAGGTCTGATTTTTTTTTTTTAATGAAATCAGAGAGGTTCAGCCCAAAGTCTCTGTTGTTTGGAGGAATATTTCTTTAAAGTGATAGATCATGTATCTGGGTGTATATGTATGAGGTACTGACGGAGCTCAAACAAACTATAGAAGACATGTAAAAACGGACAAATAAAAACTGACTAACAGTCTCCAGTACAAAGGTCCATAGAGAAAATCAGTGTTTTAAGTCAATACAAGCTTCTAATTCACCATCAACTCATTTCTCTTTGAGGTTGTTGATTCGACCTCAAAGACAACGTTTGTGATTTTAGTGTAATTTTGTCACTAGGGGAGTCCTCATGAAGGTACAGCATCACTAACTGTAACAATCCTTGTGAACTTAAATCATAAACAATAGATAAACACCACATTGCTCACCAAGGGCAACACTGTGACAAAGGTGTTTCTCAGAAACTACCAATGATTGGAGCTCGGAAGAGTTCTGAACAGTTCTGAGTCAGTACCTTAGACAATTCCCCATGTAGAACTATCACTTTAAAACGTCCACTTTTCTCCATGCTTAGGGACAGTTACGGAGCGGTAACCAACGTGGAAACAAAGTGTCGACCAAAAAACCAAGAATGCATCTCGTAAAACAAGCTCATTTGTTTTGTTTGAGTAACGCAGTAACGCTGGTTATCTGCCAGCTGGTCGTCCTTTTAACTGCGTTTAGCTGTGTTTCCACAGTAACGCTGGTTATCTGCCAGCTGGTTAGTTGGTTAGTAGGTTTGAGGATTGATGCAGGTTTTTGGAGCAAGTTGAAAGTTCAACACCAGCACAGTCCCTTTAGAACCAAAGAGAGTGTGCAGAACTGCAAACCTTATAAGCCACCCTGTTAGGACACTTCTTCCCCAGACCCAGAGGTGGAGAAATACAACGCAACAATTTGTACATGTCCTGATAGACAATCCTCCCACTGAAAGATACAAGACATGGACAGGTGAGAGCTCCAGTCATGACATCACATCATTATTTGACTCACATCGCTGTCTGCTACACCATTGTTTTTACGCCATCATCCTATGTAGTTAGCAGCTACTGTTAGCTCCTAACACTAGCTGCTAACTGTCTGTAAGATCAGCGACTGTATTATAGAATAACAACTAAATGTTTCTGACCATAGTAGCTGCCACCTCCACCCTTAGTTATCAAGCTTTGATTTCAGCAACTTTAAAACTGAAACTATTCCTGACATTTTTGTTTTTAACAAACGTTGAGCTGCTCCTCTTCACTTCACTGTTTCAATTTGTTTTTCTTATAAGAGAGAAAAATAAAATGAACCTAAACTCTGTCTCCGTCTCAGTGAGAATTCAACCACAGCTGAGTTGTTTACATCTTCACATCTCCATCGATATTCAACCGTCTATTGATTTCAGGAGAAAATAAAAAGTCAGTCGCACAAAACACGAGTGGCGTTAATAAAAAAAAAAGTCCCAGCGTTCAGTCAAACTGAAGAGAGAGAGAGAGAGAGAGAGTGTGTGTGTGTGTCACGCTGGGTTCAGTGTATTTGTCCTCAAAGGTCTACTCTCTCTCTCTCTCTTCAGCGACTGTATTTAGAAAAACAGCTAAATGTTTCTGACCATAGTAGCTGCCACCTTCAATAGCCCCAGCTATAGAAGCAGGAACCACTGGTGTACAAATTAGCATCTTGTTAGCCTCGGAATTAGCCGTTCACTTTCACTTAACCCTAACCATTTTTAGTTGTTCTTCAAACATTCTTTTTAACATTGTGACTTTATAAACCTGTATTTAAAAACAAGTAGCTCTTTTAGCATGCGCTAAGCTTTCTTAGCAACAAGTCAGACTGTCAGGCGAAAACGTTGCTCAATGTTTCCAAATACCTGAGACAAAAAGAGAAGAGCATCTGTGAACATGGAGTAGAAATGTCTGCTGTTGTTTATGGGAAGAATAATACGTCTGACTGCAGTCAAAACAATGAATACCTACACGCTAATCAATGCAAATTACGTCTGTTTAGACCTTAGGAGCGAAGCTGTTTAGCAAAGCAAACCAGTCTTTGATTTAGAGTTTCATGAGTGAAATAAGTAACGATTTTGTCCTAGAAAGCACCCATATATATATATATATAAAACTGTCTATAAGATTAGAAAAACAACTAAATGTTTCTGACCATAGTAGCTGCCACCTCCAATAGCCCCAGCTATAGAAGCAGGAACCACTGGTGTACAAATTAGCATCTTGTTAGCCTCGGAATTAGCCGTTCACTTTCACTTAACCCTGACCATTTTTAGTTGTTCTTCAAACATTCTTTTTAACATTGTGACTTTATAAACCTGTATTTAAAAACAAGTAGCTCTTTTAGCATGCGCTAAGCTTTCTTAGCAACAAGTCAGACTGTCAGGCGAAAACGTTGCTCAATGTTAAAATATTCTGATGTATGAAAATGTAACACGCAATACTCTTAATCTACAACAGCGTGGCTGTGACAGACCGAGGATCACGGACGTAAAAATCTCCTGTCGTTCCCCTTCACTTCACGCTGACAGTCTGAGGGGGCTGTGGACCACAGTGAAGTCTGAACCCAGAGCAGAAACCTGGCTCATGTGCTTTAGAGCCCACAAAGCCTACAGGGGGTTTACCACCAGCCTCTGCCGGCGCACCAGGCTAAGGCTTAATGTCACTCAGCCGCTGTGGCTGAGACGATTTTGTAACTTCTTCTCTCCGCGTCACAGAATCGCACTGATGGAACACTTTCCTGTCGCCTCAATGCTTCTGTGTGGGCTAAAAAAAGAAGGGAAATCAGTTTACACCTGGTGAGGAGGCAGCTAGGCTCTGACACCTACCACGCTGCGGGGTCGTACTCCGCCCACACTCGGATGAATTCATCCAGGTGATGAGGGCCCAGAATGGAGGCGTCTCTGGTGAGGTACTCAAAGTTGTCCATGATGACAGCAACAAAGAGGTTCAACATCTGGCGAGGGAACAGGAAGAAGTTCAAAATGACATGTTCACATCCAAAAGGTTACTTTATCAAAGATAAAAATAATCTTGACTGTTACCGAGGACTTATGTTTTTAAGGTGATTTAAATTCACGACTTTTACTAGGTTACCTGTTTCCTCCTTTTGCTATCGTTTTAAGTTAATTTTATATTCAAAGCCAAATTTTGTCTACTTTTGTCAAATCTTGTTGACATTTGTATTTTGTCATTTTTTACCACTGGGCTAACCCTTTTCAAACTAACAGATTGGCTGGTCTTTGGGCTAGCCTTTAATCCGTTTCTAATATAATCTTAATCTTGTATTAAAAAAACTATTTTATGTTAGGGAATTTTTGTAAGAGAGGGTTTTGAGAGGTTCAAATGACTTTGGTAAAACCTAAAAAAACTAACTGGGCTAGTAATGGCTCATTATATTTAAACGAATATATTACCAGGATTTCAGCTACTGGAGACATTTTTGAGCAAGTATTTATAATGACCAGTAATCTGTTAATCCTAATCTACATCATACAGTTACAGAGAACTCTGTGTTTTCTAACTTCCAACTGACCAGGAAAGAGCAAAGGAAGATGAAGGAGACAAAGTAGAAATAGGCGAAGTCACTTCCACACTCTTTGCCCACTGATCCTGAGAGTTGATCACACGCTCTGTTACTGAGGCAGGCCAACATGATCTCATGCCAGGCTTCACCTGTGGCACTCCTGAGACACAGTGGAGGAACACAGGCGGGGGTCAAAGAACAGAGAGTGACCTCAGTGTCAGCATTAACAGCAGGTGTCGGTCATTTACCTGAAGAGAAGAGTCAAGGCCTGGAAAAAGGTCTGGAAGTTGTTGTGACGATTGATGGAGGATTCATCGTTCAGCTCAATGTTTCCAAACACCTGCGACAAAAAGAGAAGAGCATCTGTGAACATGGAGTAGAGATGTCTGCTGTTGTTTATGGGAAGAATAATACGTCTGACTGCAGTCAAAACAATGAATAGCTACACGCTAATCAATGCAAATTACTGTTTAGTCTGTTTAGACCTTAGGAGTGAAGGTGTTTACACACCTACATATATATGCATACATATTAATGGATAATTTAATAGATAATTAGATTATTAATTAATAATTCAGTTTTCCTATTTCTGGCTTGAACAGTTGTTCACTGATATATTCATTCCACAGTAAAACTTTGGACACAGAACCTAATTCAAACATTGTTTATTTCATTTTTTCATTTTGTTATTCATTTTGTTTAATCAGCTTTAAATGTTTTTCTTTCCTTTACCTCTGCATGTCTTGAAATAAAACTCCCTTTGTAATTTAGATTATGTGGCGTTGACATCTTCTGTTACTATTTTATTGGAAAGAAATTATGGAAATATATATTCCATATCGCAAATTTAGCAGAAATATTGAGCTTTTCATCATACAGTGCGATTGAGCAGAAATGTATCAACATATAGGATGGAGCGTAATAAGGTAAAAAGGACAATGTAAATATATATTTTTTACACTGTTTTGTTGACAAATATTAAGACTTTAAATCTCTCTCAGTATGTATATTTTACCATTATTTTTGACTGTTTTAGAGAAATGCACTACTTTTCCACTAGGTGACAGCAGAAGGTTATAAAAACTAAAAAGCAGACCACCTTAAAGCCCTTGAAGGACATATTATGTCTTTCTTCAATTCCTGTGAGTTCACCAGTATTGCGTTCAACTGAACAGGCCCAGTTTTCACACTGAGTAAATCTCGAATAAATAACCAAACTAGAAGATAATTCATCCGCAAACTTTTTTGTGACGAAACTAGAAGATTATTATAATTCATCCGCAAACTTTTTTGTGACATTTTTGTCTAGTGACGTCACTGTGTAGTTTTTCCCTAATTATAAAAATATGTTGCATGATTTAAAAGATGTTGGTAGTTCGGGAGAAACAGAAGTCAACGTTTAAATGAACCAAATGTATAAAGTTATCTCATGAACATTCCAGTTACACGTGCAGCTGATGTCCATACCCACCTGCATGCCAATGATAGCGTAGATGAAGAAAAGCATGGCGATGAGCAGGCAGACGTAAGGCAATGCCTGGAGACCAAAAACCATGAGAAATACAAGTCAACAAGGTTCAACACACACACACACACACACACACACTCAGAGTTGAAGCAGCATGTTGGATTCTTTCAACCAGCTATTTATAATGTGTGAAGAAGAGGAAGAGAGCGCCTGGGGTGTAATTAAATGCCCCCCTCTGAACACACTGAAGCTTCCATCCATTTCTATTGGCTTTAAAAGCTTTCAGCGCTGGCGTTAACGCTGATCCAAATCCCTGAGATGTGGTCTGGACTCTGCCTCTTTAACACAACTGGTCTCAGGAGGATTTAAAGAGCCGAGCATCACAGCGTGGAGTCAGAGAGAAGAGTCTGAGAGCTCACTGCTGTGAGCTGTGTGTGCAGGCAGTGTGTAATGTCAGAGAGGAGTTCTGCACAATGTTCTATTCCGATGTTTCCCAAAGATTGGGTCGCGACCCTTTTTTTTGTCTATTGACTTGGGTCGCAAAAATGTGTCTGTGACTTTTAACTATAAATACAGGTCCCTAGGAAAAAAAAGGTTTGGGAAACACTTCTATTCTGCTGATGTCTTACTGTTTAGATTATGGCCTGTACAAGTTTAACCCTTTATACAATTCACTATGTCTGAGTTCATTCTGAATCTGACTTTGATTTTAAAGCATAACTTTGGTTTTAGTCCCAGTTTAGTCAACAGGACTGTTTTAACATTACTACTTTATAACTTATGTTACAACACATTTGTTTAGTGTGACCAGTTCATCCGATGGAACAGTGCTGAAGGGAGTTTTTCAACTTGTTTCTCTGAGTTGACTAATGCACCAATAGATGTCCTGATTATTATCTGACCTCACGTGACTTCTTCTTTAATCTTCGTTTAGGTTGTCTTAAAAAAAAAAAAAAAAAGGATTTTGACATGCCCTCTGTCGTCTACAAAAAGTCGAATGAAGTAGGAAGATGACATCATCAGTCATACCATGGCCTCGCCTGACAGACAGCAGCTCTCTAACGTGTTTCATGTTTGTTTCAATAACCTTGAAGGACTGGACAAAGGTCCAGAGCAGGATGCGGATGGTGTAGCCCTGACGCAGCAGCTTGATGAGGCGAGCAGCTCTGAAGAGTCGCAGAAAACTCAGGTTGATCATTTTGTCCTGTGGTCAAGACACAAATGACATTAAGGTCAAATGAAATAATCTCAAACATGAACATTCAACGTCAGTGATTTTCATGGAGCCTTTCCCAGCAGTCATCTGGTAAAAAAAAAACGCGTGCTTTAGCTAAAACTAAATAAGAAGCTTGAGAAACACTACATCAGTGAATTCTTCTTTAGTTTACATTACTGTACATTCACACGTTTTTCTCTTTGTAGAACATATGACTGATGTTGGAGGAGAAGCCTGAGGACAGAGACAGCGACAGACAGGAGACAAAAATCAGCAGCTGTCAAAAAAAAAAAAAAAGCCACTCACCGTCTGCAGACGTCAGATGTTACAGAGGCAGCAGGAAGAGACGGAGCAGAAAATGGAAAAGGCACACGGATTCAAAGACAGCGAGAGGAAGGAGACAGAGAAGACACGGAGCAAGTGAAAGGAAGAAGGACAGAGAGCAGACAGAAAGCAGCGGCACTCTGCCTCAGTCCTCTGCTCACACACTGTGTGTATTTTTTCGCCTCAGTCTTTTAGTAATTCGCCTGTGGTTTCATCTGCTCGGAATGTGCGTGCTTACTGTCAAACTAATGTTTATTTATCATTTGAGGACAGACGTCTGGAGCCGAGGACTGAGACCGAGTTTAGCAAAGCAGCGACTTCTACAATGGCTTGGCTGCCTTGTTTTAACAGATAGTAAAAAAAACAACATTTACATAAAAACCATCAGTGGGATAAATGGACAGGAAATAAAAGACTACTAACTCCATGAGTATATCTGATTATTTGAACAAGTCACTGGCGATCTACATGAGACTTGATGCAGGTTTTCTATACATGGGGTTGTTGGAGGTGATAGAGCAGCTGCTGGTGGGTGGGTGTAAAATCAACTCAACTCAACTCCAACAACATGACTGCAATTTGGGACCACAAGGGGAAAAAAAAACATTTAAAATATTGATATACTGTGTATTAAATATACATGTTTTCCAGCAGGTAAAATGAATTTGCCTGGCTGTGTAAATAGTTCAGTCTCTCACACGAATGTTTATAGAAAAACATCCCTTTATTGATGTGGTTGTTTTCTTTATAAGGGACCTAATTGTCAGATGATCCCTTACCTTAATCTCAGTGACCAGGATGTCTGTGATGCTGCCCAGTACAGTCACAAAGTCAAACACATTCCACGCAGCCTTCAGGTAGTTCTACCAACAAGAGAAGAGAATGTGTAGGTTTTTATGATGCTCTCTCTCCCTTTACTGTGCGACCATCCAAATATTTATCTGTAAACTTGAGTAAATGTTGGTGTCAACCACGAATAAAAAAAAACTCTTCTGGTGTTTCAAAGATACCAGGGCTCACCAAATTGCTTTAGTCTTATAAACAACAAAACAACAAAAATAAAGTTTCACAGAGACAAACATTATCACTGAGTGAAGATCAGAGAGCAGAGCTGTGCTCCTGGAGCAGACTGATCATCAGATCATCTCCTGAGGATGTCACAGCAGACGCCAGCACACCCACCGGCCTCCAACAGCCAAACAGGTGGAGACAAGTGGTGTGTGAGAAAAGCCATTTCATAAATGAGCCCTGGTAAATGGAACAGAGCCAGTGATGAGATGCTGTACTGGAGACCAGATGGCCTCACGCTGGGAGAAGATTTATCCCCTGCATTCTGATTTCTCTGCTCTCTGGATTTACAACCAGAATCACAAATCTCTATCTGTGTTTGTTATTGCAGCACATGAATATTTCTCTCTGTTTTACAACTGGAGGATGCCATGAAGTCAGGCTGCCAGTCTTGCTGCTGCTGCTGCTGCTGGTCTGGATTGACAAATGTAACAGAGGCACATTAGTGTACCATGAGAGATCGTGGCGTGTGTTGTATCTAATCTCACTTCATTGGTCTAAAAACCATGATTTATTTACAGCAAATGCTGCAAATAGTCTTTTGGTTGGTCTGTGACGCAGCAGAACTAATTAAATTACCTTCTACTAAGGGGCAGCAGACGGCTAGAGAAACCATGACAAAAGACACAGAGCTGTTGAAGATGATCTGAACTGTGAGTTCATCGGTGTCATTAAAACTTGGAGCAAAATTAAAACGATAAGATCAGTATATTTCTTATTGCTTACTGCAATACTTTTTTTTTTTTTTACTTTTTACTCGGTTCACCATTGTATTTTTGTAATGTAAAATATGAGCCTTTGTTCAAAAATTGTTGATCAACACTGACATACACAACGCAATATTTCATCAAAATGATATAAATAACATAATGTATAGTAAAATGAAAATATAAATAATAGTGTAATAATGTGTGTTGATCATTTTAATCTGAATAATTCCAGCACAGATTAATCTCCGTACACCACTGGTTTTGACAGTCCTGGTTGAGGTATTCTGGAGGACAGCAGAGTGGTAAAACTTTGAGGACAACTGAGTTCTTTCATTACTACTGTGTATTACTGTATGGGTCAACCCTTATCTCGATGATGCACACATTCATGCTGCCTGGTCATCACACACACCTGACCTCTGACTGTCAGCAGTACAAGTTAAATCTGGGTGTGTTCACACTCACGGGAAATCAGAAAATACTCTGTGGCTTTGTTTAGGTTAAATATGGTAATGAAACTGTGTCCCAGAATCACAACAGTGTCTGTTTGGTGTTTGGACTCACTAATGGACCAAAGGCAATGATCTTGAGGATGCACTCCAAAGTGAAGAGAGCTGTGAAGGTGATGTTCAAGTACTTCAGCATGGACTCGTACCAGACTGGAGCTTCGTAGAACTGAAGACAGAGACAAAAAAACAGACAAGCAGCCACAGAAATTTGTAAAACTGATTATTCAGGAAATGACACAAAGATTAAAAAATAAAGGAAATAAAAAAAAAATGAGCACATTGCTCTCACCTTCATCATCAACACCACGGTGTTGAGAGCGATCAAGATCATGATGGCGTACTCAAACGGAGGCGACACCACAAACCTCCACATCTTGTACTGGAAGGAGAGCTTGTTCTGTGGCATGTATCTGGTCAGTGGCCTGGCGTTGATGGCAAAGTCAATGCAAGCTCTCTGTTTGAAGACAGAGACAAACATATGCTGTACATAAGCCGTCTCTAAACTACCGACAGCTACTGCGGACCGGTCGCTGAATTATCATCAAGGATCATTCAATTTAAAAAAAAAACAACATTTAGCCAGCCGTCGGTTATGTTTTATTTAGCTACTGGCTACTAGAAAACTTTTTTTTAGACTTCTGGTGGTATTGCAGTCTCAATGATTATCTTTAAAGAAGAAAGTAAACAATGAGTGGATTGTCTTTGAATGAAGTAAATTAGTAAAAATAAAAAACAATTGTTTATCTGTGTCCCACTGCGGCCTGGTACCATATTATCTATGGACTGGTACCAATCTTTCAGCTGAGGTAGAGGCTAAACAAGGATTTCTTTTTAATCAGCCAATCATGTTTATTTTTGAAATGTATTTGAGGCTAGTGTTTTATGAATCAGGAGGCACTTTTTAAAAAAAAAAACAAAAAAAAAAACAACATTTAGCCAGCCATTCGTTTATGTTTTATTTAGCTACTGGCTACTAATCCATAAACTAACTTACTAACTAATTGAGAACATTCTTAATAATTTGAAAGTGGAACTATTTTTGTACCTAGCTTGAACATATTCTTCTTCGCTAATTGAAGAGGTAAAGCTAATATACTTGTGTTTGACCAACCTTTAGGCTATCTTTTAGGTCCTTCATTGGTCAGCTTTGAGATATCTCGGCTAAATGTTTAGCTACGACTTATCCAATATGGAGACATATATAATTTAAATCTAATAAGTCGTACTCAGCCATTGGCTTTTAGTTTAATTTTCTTAAAATAGGACACTGGTTGTTTTCTCATTACCTTCTATCTGAAGAAATTACAGACTGATTTTCTTTAGGCTATTTGTAGCTCTGATGTTATTCTTATACATTTTAGGTCATTTGGACTAAAAGAGTTTTTGAGTTATTTTCAAATATTTCTGCTAAATTTAAGGCTAATATCTGGTACGTTCTGAATGAAATTAATTATTTTTTTATTGCTACGTTTTAATTTGTTAGTTGCTTTATTTGATCAAATTTAGTGCTACTCAATTTATTCAAATGTATGTTTGTGTCCTTAGTGCTGATGTTTCGTACTCAGCCATTGGCTTTTAGTTTAATTTTCTTAAAATAGGACACTGGTTGTTTTCTCATTACCTTCTATCTGAAGAAATTACAGTTGAAATCTTTTGTCTGTTTGTGTAGCTCTGATGTTATTCTTATACATTTTAGGTCATTTGGACTAAAAGAGTTTTTGAGTTATTTTCAAATATTTCTGCTAAATTTAAGGCTAATATCTGGGCTAAAAGAGTTTTTGGGTTATTTTCAAATATATTATTAGCTACCTTTTGAGCTAGTTCTGCTAAATTTAAGGCTAATATCTGGTACGTTCTGAATGAAATTAATTATTTTTTTATTGCTACGTTTTAATTTGTTAGTTGCTTTATTTGATCAAATTTAGTGCTACTCAATTTATTCAAATGTATGTTTGTGTCCTTAGTGCTGATGTTTCATTGGTGGACTGTGTTTTAAGTGACATTAATCTCTCATGCAAGAAGAGCTAGACATGAAATCCTAAACAGAATAAAAAATAAATCTTTAAATATTGTGTTGGATTGTTACGACAGGAAGAGATCCTCTCTGATCAACTATTAGAACAGAACGTCTGCGTGAAGTGCAGCGGGTGAAGGAACGCAGCATTTCACATCATTTGCTCAAAAGTGTTGTCAAAAAGATCAGTGTGACCTCTGACCTCCAACAAACACAGAGATACTCATGAAAATAGCCTCTTCCAATATTCCAAGAATAGTTTCTAGCCCTAGCAAACCTTTCATGACTTTCCGGGCCCTCACCTCATTCTTTTCCAGGCTACACTCAGACATAGCTTTGTCTCCCTGCTCCTGGAAAGTGATGATGATCAAGGCAACAAATATGTTGACGAAGAAGAAAGGAAAAACCACAAAGTAGACCACGTAAAAGATGGACGTCTCCATGCGGAAGCCTGGGCTGGGACCCTGGTCCTCGTAGGTGGCGTCCACGGAGTGTTTAAGGACCCTGAGAGTACACAGCAGAGAGAAAAGCTGAAGCACAGCGAGCTGTGACAAACAAACAAACAGAAACCGAATTTTCCACTCTCGGGTTCTGCAGAATGATTTCTAACTTTTACCTAAGATTTTATTGATTACATCCTCCATAAACAGCTGTGACGCTGCTGTCTGTGCACAGTTACCACAGAATGATATGAAGGGACTGTGACAAGGCCGCTGGGCCTCAGTCACCTGTAGTGAGTGAAAAAAACAAACAAACCCAGTGACACACTGGTGTACAGTTGCAGGAGCCCTTGGTTCCATCTTTATAAAAAAGACAAAACCCAAGTAGCAGACGAAAGAGATGAAAAGATTGAGTGTTTTCAATGTTCCTGCGAAAATTGATCATCAAAGTTTAACTAGATCTGGATTTCAGAAAAGCGTTTCTATTAGAGAAGTCCTTATTATTAGGAGAGTGATTTATGATGTGTAAAACAGCGCCCCTCGTTCTTTGTGTGGTGAGTGTCGATACTGCACTGTTGTCTTGAGGAGGTGTGGTGAGCCGCCATATTCTTGGCAATTAATGGTAAAGACTGGTCTTCTTCTCTCCCTCTGACTTACATTGGCCAGCCTTCTCCAGTGGAAACAGTGAAGAGAGTCAGAAAAGCCCAGAGAACGTTGTCGTAGTGGAACTCGTACTTCTTCCACTCCCTGGGCTGAGCTTCAACGTTGTCCCGGTCGTAGTCTAGAAACTGACCTCTGTGATCACACGACGGATTATAACGAGGAGAGGAAGCAGAGAAGGTCAGAGGTCAGCACATCTGAGCAGAGGGTGAGGATTCAAAGGCAACAACTGGGAGAAGAAGCATTACTTCCGATGAACCATTACTGAGTATGTACCTGCAGTCTTTCTCGAGAGCTTTGGATTCATCGGTGCAGTAGAAGAATTTGCCTTTAAAGAGCTGCACAGCGATGACAGCGAAGATGAACATGAAGAGGATGTAGACGATGAGAATGTTGAGCACGTTCTTCAGAGAGTTGACCACACAGTCAAAAACAGCCTGCAGGACAAACGCAGAAAGAACACACACAATTTAGTCACACAGTCAGTCTGCAGGGGAAGTCAAAGACGTCTGGACGTAGTCACTAGAAACACCGTAATCTGTGCTGATATCATCGTCCAGATCATGTAGGGTTTGGGGGATCCGTCCAGATCGGTGTCTCACCAAAGACATGAATATATCAGTGTCAGTCTCTTGATTATCTGTCTGTCTGTCTGTCTGTCTCGGGCTGTCTCTCTCTCTCTCTCTCTCTCCGGCTCTGTGTCTGGTTGTCTCTTTCTCGCTCTGCCTGTCAACCCTGATCCTTGTCAATCATCTCACTTCTAGTAGTCCAGTTATTTCTCATCTGTCATCAGGTCCATACTTTTAGATGATCAGCAGTCACCTCACCACTGAAGGAAAGAGCAAAAGCTGTTGCCATGGTGACCGTCACAACAACAACCCTAACCTTTCAGGGGTGACTTGGACTGGGAATACAATTAATACAAAATTAGCAAAATGTATCTGTAACACAGTGCTTCTCAAAAAGTGGGGCATTGGGGGCTTCCAAAGGAATATGGCACACTGGACATCAGTATCCCGCCGCTGTAATGCTTGGATGATAACAAGCCTCCAGTCACTAGGTGGCAGCAACTCATACAGTGGTTTGTACAGATAAAAATATACACCTTATCAGGTTCTCAATAGTACTTCAATTCACAGAGGTGTGGGTCGGGGGAAGGCGTGAAAACATTTCTGTCCTCAAGGGGGGGCATGGCAGACAAAAAAAAATTAAGAACCACTTCATAAACATTTGACTATTAGTAATGTTCCTATCATGTCAATGAATATGGTTCCTTAATATTTAAAAGAAATGTTGGGTGAAAAACCCAAAGGATTCTGAGGTTCCTGACATTCCTCTTAAAGTACATTTAGAGCAAAGAATGAACCTGGATGTTTGTTGGACTTTGGGAACCCTTATCCAAGAGCCCTACAGTGCCAGCACAGCAGTGACATGAGATTGAAATCACAGAAAACCAGCAGCTTCAGTTTTTTGTTTCACAATCGACCGGTTGTGCGGCGGGAACAGATTATCGCACCTTGAGCTTGGGCAGCCGTTTGATGGTCTTCAGCGGTCTCAGGACTCTCAGAACCCTGAGGGACTTGATGGTGTTGATGTCCTTGCCTTTGGTCCCTCTGTGCAGCCAGAGAGGATAGAGGACATACAATGAGTCCATGTGACGCAGTGATCATCATCATCATCATCATCACTGTCACTTTGTCCTCTAAGGTCTACAGCTGTAGTACATTAACCTGTGACATGGACGTTCTCTGTAAATCTAACAGGATTTTGTTTTCTTGATTTCTCTTTTCTATTAGTGCTGTTCTTGCCCTACTGTCACTCTGTCAATCTGTCAGTTGTGTCTCTGAGAGCAGCGTCAGTCGCTGACCAATGTGGGAGTGTAAAAACAAACCCTTACTGTACTGTATGTTAATAAACCAGACACAGGTAAAATAAACAGGGCTTTTCACAATGGTGTGCCATTAACAGATAAACGTCAGAGCTGATTTATTATTATGTAAACAGATCGATGTTTCAGCCAACACCACAGCAGAAACTAAAACTAAAAAAAAAAAAAGATTCTATTCATGTTTGCCAGTTTGGAAGCAGTTTATATATATATATATATATATATATACACATATATATACATATATATATATATATACACATATATATACATATATATATGTATGTGTATATATATATATATATATATACACATACATATATATATGTATATATATGTGTATATATATATATATATATATACATATATATACATATATACATATATATATATAATACATTTATTTTAAAAAATATATATGTTTGCCCTTAAAATGTAAAGTTCTTTTAGTTAAAAAAGCACAGAAATACAGTACATATAGCCAAAAATAAAACTATATTTTTAACAAAAGATCAACATTTATTTTAATATACTGTATAAAACCTAGAAACTGAGCAAAAATTCCTTACATTTAACAAATAATAGTTCAAGAAATGTACTAAAATGTAAAAAAAAAAAAAAAAAAACGTTAGCAGAAAAAACCTAACTTTTAATTATCTAACCTGCCATAGAAAAAAAGGAGAAATACATTTAAAATACGTATATATAATATGTGGATTTTAACCTGCCATAGAAAAAAGGAATTGGCAGAAATACATGTAAAATACGTATATATAATATGTGGATTAAGTGATTTGGGCTGAACAACACAAATGACTAAATATAATCACCACAACCTGTTCACGTCGGTCAGTATGGTGTGAATGGACCATCTGTTCAGTTCTATTGCTAAACCTGGATCTAAGTTGACATACACACAGGTTCCATAAGTTTCAGACCCTCGTGGTTTTTCAGGCACTCAACCACTTCCCTTCAAGTTTTTCCACTTTTTGACATTCAGTTAAAATGACATGCAGCTCTTATGCTACAATGACAAGTTCATGCAGTAATATCTGCAGAGTGGGTGTCAGTCCTCAGTGTCTCACGAGCATTTACACTGAGACGGAAACAAAGAGGCGCTCCTAGCTTTCAAAAGAGCCTGAGGAAGTGTGTGTATGTGTGTGTGTGTGTCCTGGTGTCTCATCAGTCTTGCATCTGAGGTCATTGTCACTCACCGTGACTGATCTTTAACTGATCAGAGCCGAGACATGGTACAACGACCAATTAGAGAAAAGAGAATATTACGTGATCAAGATAAAAAATTAAAAAAAAATCAACAAAGTGAGAGCTGTTGTTAGGTTAAAAATCGGGTTTAGTTTAGGGTCAGATTAGATTAAGATTAGGCAAATATTTGTAGAAAAATTTGTAAATTTGAATTGTGACTCACAAACCACAAAAACCAACGTGAGTGTATGTGTGTCTTCTGAAAGCTAGGAGTCACTGTTCCCAATATTGTCCTCTGTTGGTTCGATGCCCCAATATTGGAAAAGTAACCTTTATATATATAGGAAGGTCAAAGGGTCAGGGCAGGTCAAATCCAAAACATGTTTGGATGGTGATTGTTGAAAATAGGGGTGGGAATCCAAGAAGTGTAATTTATATTTTGGGATGTGTACTGTGTTCCTCCTTCGGCCCATGTTAATCAATGGACCAGAACGTTGGATGATTAAGGTTCAACTCATATTACATGGTTGAATAGGTTTAAAAGGTCCTTGTTAATTAAAATGTTTACAATTGCAGTACAATCGCATATAATTTATATTTATTCATATTTGAATTTGTTTTGCAGTAACTTCCTGCTGCCCTCTGTGGAATACGTTTTTTAGCAAATTTGTTTTGTTTTTTTTAAAATGTCTTCGCATGTGTTTTATACTTAAAATAATTAGTCACTTATTGTCCCACCCCTATTTATGCAGGTTAATAAAGGAGCATTCTGAGTGTTCACACGTGAAAGGAAAAAGGAAGAAGAGGTTGATTTGACAGGAAGGTCAGTTCCCACCTGGCTACGCTTTGCTGCGATCTGATGAGAAAAAGTCAATTGGAGGAAAAAACCACACACATGAAATGTACAAAGACAGACAACAGACACAGAGAGTATGAAGAAAGAAACAGCAAATGAAAACACAAATCTGAAAATTATTCAGCCTTTTAAATTGACACGTGAAGAAAAGAACGAAGCGCAGACAGAACCAAGAACATCAAATAAACCACTGGACTGAGGTTTGGCTATAGTTAGGATGACGAATGGATGTAAACATTGACGCAGTGTATTCTGTGATTTTCTGATAAATATATTACCTATCCATAAATAATTACTGTAGAGTAAGATCTGGGGTTTACTGATTTATCCAGCCTCCATGTCTGAGAGTTGGTTCTGTGAGCAGGAGACTCACGCTGTACAGTTAGCTTTCAATTAGCACCTCATTAACAACTACACATCTTTATCAGACAGTTTCCACTAATGGAGAAACCTCCATTGACACTGTTTGATTGACAGCAGCCTGTTTACGTCTCCGAGTCCTCCATTCGCCGGTGTTTACTCCGTTTTATTTATGGTTCCGCCCTGCTCTGTTTTCATCCGTCTTCCTGCTCACGCACAGCAGATACGGGCTGGTAAATACAGAGCAGGTAATTGAACCCAGGCAAGGCAGATAAAACAGAGTAAATGTCAGAGTCTGTGATCAGAGACGCTGCTGATGACGATAAGCAGAGCAAATAAGCAAATATGACATTTGTTCAAACATTTTAAAATGGTGAGACGGACACTCTCTTTGAACAACAGAGAAAAGGACAGAAAGGACACCGGAAGACGGACAGGAGGGAGGACGAAGAGAGAGAGACACGCGCACAGCAAATTACCCCATGAGGCTTCTGCAGGTAGGGCACAGAGAAAAAACAGAGAAAAGTGGAAGAAACACAGCACAGACAGAGATAAAGAGTCAGCAACAGATGAAATACCAGCGAGAAGCACAAGAGAACAACGAGAACAAAGAGCTGGACTCACGAGCAGGCGAAGGCCACCAGGGCTCCACTGACCACGATGAAGTCAAGGATGTTCCACAGGTCACGGAAATAAGAGCCAGGGTGGAGGAGGAGGCCTAGGTCAATCATCTACACCGTTACAGTCACACAACAAAACAAAAAAAAACGTTTTTATTTACAAAAGATCGGGGGCAAAACAGTGGTCGGGGGGGGCAGATATGACCCATTGGGCTTTTAATTCAGGCCAAAACCATTATAGTAGAGCCATTCTGAATGCGTTTATTTTGCCTCTGTCCTGTGTTACTCAGCTTTTCAAGTAAGCCACTAGATGGTGCACTCCAGAAACTATTTATTCTCCCTGTGTTTGTCTTTTTTACACATTTTTTTTCTGGTCATCCTGTCAAGTAAAGAATATTAAACAAATTAAAAAAAATGAATGCTTAGCTCTTATACAGAGCCTTTCATCGGTCCTCACTCTGCCAAATGGTTCAGAACTGTCACAGCCCTAGTAAAGGCCGCATCGGAGTTCATGGGCAGTGAGGTTGTAACAGCCATCATTTAAACATGGTCAATAAGACTTAGAACTGTTTGTTACATTTAAAAAATACCATTAATGGCTGAGAAGGATGTGAATAATTTAATTTACCGCTACTGTTTTCACACGCTTTTAACCCTGCGGCTTAAACAATGATGGGGCTAATTTATGGATTTTTACGAGCTAACGAAGTTCATACCGCTAGCGATCAATGACTTTTCTGGTAGGCTAGTTTGAGCCCCTGTCATGTTGAAGCGTGAGTTGGTTATACAGGAGTATAAACTCTGTTTATATTCTGTTGTGGTCAGTGCGGCTGATAATAAAGACCCCGACTTCTTTCTGTTTACCTCTGCTGTGGACAAGCACAAAATGAAGGGAGTTAGCCCCGGAGCTAATGTTAGCTAACGTGTAACCAGCCATGTTACTGGCACTGTTCGGAAAAAAGCATTTATTTAATTAAAAGTAAAAAAAAAAAAAAATGTGTAAATAACTTATGTTACAATGTCGATACCCAGTAAATTTTATAAATTTACGGGCTGGGGCTTATATTGGGGTGCGTTCAATAATCCGGAAATTACAGACGATTACAAGTGCCAAGTGGACTGACCAGGAGAGACAGGATCATAATTTAATAGAGCCAAGATTAGTACTGGACTGTGGACTGTGGACTGTGTCCTACAACAACATGAACAAACATGTCGTAAGTGTTTTGTCTTAAGTCAGTCGTCGTCTGATCCCCTTACCTTTATCACCATCTCAAATGTGAAGACTCCAGTAAAGACATAGTCTAGGTATTTTAGAACCTGGAACAACACAATGACAAAAGACAAAATGACTGATCAGTAGGTTCTGCAAACAGCGAGTGTGTGTGTGTGTGTTTATAGTGTAAAAAAAAAACCCCTGAAAATGACAGGTTTAAACTCAGTCAAGAACACGGCGGTAGATAAAGAACATGTAAAATTGATTATTTTCTCTATGAGGTTTGGTTTAAGAAAGTTTCAGTTTACATAAAAATAAAAAAATTGCTCTCTCTGTGCGTCACTATTTTATTACTAAATAGTTCTTTGGACAACTAGGGGAGTCACCCACTGGTGGCTAACGTGCTAATTACATCTTATTATTCTTATCTTATTATATAATATATTATATAATATTAATATTTTAGTTTGTAAGTATACAGCATGGTGATACGTGTGTGTGTGTGTGCTGGCTAAACGTCAGTATGACTCACATTGTTGCGCGGAGCGTTAGCTTGTACAGGATCCTCAGCTGCCAGAGCGATGCTGCTCATAGTGATGACCACCAGGATGCACATCTCAAAGTAGCGGAGGTTCACCACATAGTGACACAGTTGTCTCACACTGACAAATGACACACGAACACACCGTCAGTTATACCTACAACTGCAGCTCCTTGGCTTTTCACTGCACTCAGATGATCTAGCTCCCTCCATGCTGCTTCTCTCCCTGACCTCACAGCAGTGACTCACGGGTTTGTCTGGCCAAAGATGAACATGGAGCTGTAGGGGAGAATCTGCCGAGGCCCATTAGCTGCCGCCTCCGAGTTCCCCTCCTCCTCTAGATCCTTCTTCTCCTCACTGATTTGGAAGTTGTCACAGTCCATGCTGTTTACTGGTGCAGATGAACATTCGAAAGAAAAAAAAAGTAGAAGACACAAAAGTAGGGATTCATGTAGAAAATTCTCACACAAGGTTTCAGCCTGTGGCGTTAAAGTAATTTATTGAATTCATTTTTTTTTTAAATTGAAGCTACATTTTGCCTGGGTTGATTTAATTACAGTTGGGTGTCTAACTTCAATTTATTTCAACTATATTTTTGACTTCATGGCTAATTTAAATCTATTATGGCCAAATCTTTGTCAACTTCTGCTATTTAAACCTCGCTAACATTTAGCTCATTTTGTCCATTTTATGCTAGCTTTAAGAAGCTACCTTTAAACAGGATAATCTTCTCCTCAGCTATTAGCTACACATTTCAACAATATTAAAGTAGGCAATCTTGAATTTATTCTGGCTTTGAAAATCTTGCTACAATACTGCCAAAAAAAAAAAAAAAGTATTTTGATTAAGTTTCACCAATCTTTAGGTCAGTGATTCCCTAAGTGGGGCTAGGTCCCCTTGAGGGGTATTGTTATTGCAGTGCTGTGCAGTAAATCAGAGAAAATTGTTATCAATATAAATTGTCATTTTTTTAAATTGTACCACATAACTGTATTTCCTTTGCTGGTGAAAATATATCTTCTGCAAAATACAGAATTTAATAATAACATTTTGGTAAAAGTTGGATAAACACTGCTTTAGACTAATGTAACGTAACAGAACCAGCACATTGTCTAATGGTCAAGCGGCCGTTAACAGTTCCGGTACTTTGTAACACTAAAAAGAGAGAAGACCATTTGCGTCTCTGTACTCACTGGGTATGATGGTGGTTTCTCCTGGTGGAGAGGTGACGGTGACTGGAATGTGGATGGCATTGTTGTTCAGACCAGCCTGACTGGCTCTGGTGGAGTTCTTCTGGTTGTCTGCATCTTCTTGTTTCTCGCTGAGACTCAGGTCACTGTGCATCAGCTGTAAAGGGCTGGAGGCGAGGCCACTGTCCTCAGCATCAGTCTGCTTCTCCCTAAAGAGAGAGAGAGGCACACGGCTCTTCATTGGCGATTCTTCAACTGAAAATGTTAGGTGAAACGGCTGGAAGGTTCTAATCATTTGGCCAACACGTGGCTAGAGTTTCAGTAGAGCTTCTTCGACCTTACCTGTGTCCTCTGACTCCCTTTCTGTTCCTCTTACATTCATCTCCATTCAGAGTGGACTGAGCCTTCAACATCCTAGAACATCGCGCCTTGTTGTCTCCATCGTTTCTCCTCTCTCCGTTCCCAATCGATCCATTTCCCTTATTTGGGGGATGCTGATAATGGGGACGATGGTGTCCGCCGTCTCCTCCATCGGTTTCTCCGTTCTCCTCGGGAGAACCACTCCGACGGTGGTGATGGTGCCAATGTCCCTGCCCAACATCTCTGCTGTACCGTCTCTCTGGTTTCCTCTCTTTTCCCAAAACTCCGTCACCGTTTTGATCCCTTCTCCTGCTCCGATGACCGTGGTTCGTTCCTCCCTTGTTGTCACCTCCATCTCTGTTCTCTCCATTCCTGTTGTGGTGGCGATGGTGTTTTCTTGAGTGCGTGTGGCTTTCTCCCTCAACCGCCTCCTCGTGGCCTTCGCTACGCGTCTCACTGGTTTTGTCACCGTTCCTGCCATCCATCACCAGGGGGCGGTCGAGGTGAGTCTTCATGTCGGGGTGCAGGTGAAGGGCGGAGGTCAATCGAAGGCGGTCTTCCGGGTCCAGCTCGTTGAACAGGGCCTCACTGCTGGCCCTTATGTTGTGCCTCCTCAGCTGGTTGGTCCGTTGCTCCCACACAGACTTGCTCTTTGTTGTCCTCTGGTCTCTGATGCACACAACATTCAAAACCATAGAAACACTCCTTAAAAACGGCATCGATGTTTGGAAAGAACCTGTAAAAGCCTGATCCTACTTGTCCCACAAACAAGGGTCAGATATACTGTAGGATTTGAACGGACTACATGCAGGACTTGAACCAAAGTCAGTTACTTTGTCTGGTCATGCACATCAAGTGTCATCGTTGAATATTATCGCAGATAAACGTTGGGGATTTAGGTTGTTTTTTTATGCTCAGACTCAATGGACTTGCCCAAGTTTATTTAAGACATTTGACCTTTTTTGACTTTTTTTATTGGCTGAGATGTATAACTAAGTGGGCCAGGAAAGGCCTTTTGGCCTTTTTTTCAGCCAACTGACTAATTTGGCTGACATTTATCTCCTACTCAAAACATGTCTTTTTTTTATTGGCTGAGATGTACAACTAAGTGGGCCATGAAAGGCCTTTTGGCTTTTTTTTCAGCCAACTGACTAATTTGGCGTCATGAATGATCCACAGCTCCGTCCATAGTCAATAAGTCGTGGACATAAAGTAGATGTTTTTTACAGATGTTCTCTCTAGCACAGAGACCTGGTTTATTATGATTGGTTAACTACAGAAGATACTTTTCTGTGTTGTCGTCAATAGTTACATCGAGGGCAACTGGACGAAGTACAGTACATGTTTTTTGAAGACCACAAACAGAGCAACCTCTACATCGGGGAAACCAAACAACCACTGTACAAGCGTATGTAACAACCCAGAAGAGCCAGCTCCTCAGGGCAGGACTCAGCTGGTCATCTACTGTACATCTTGAGGACAAAGGACACACTTTTGTGGATGAGGATGTACACATCCTCACCAGAGAAGACAGATGGTCTGAGAGGGGGGGGAGGGGGGGTGAAGGAAGCCTTCTATGTCAATCTGGAGAAACCAGCTGTCAATAGAGGAGGTGGTTTGAGACACAACCTTTCATCCCCCCCTTTAATGTCATCCTGAGTTCTCTCCCCAAAAAAATTCAACCCCCCTCCCTGAAAACAAGAAAAATAAACTGGATGACTGAGAACCTACACAACTATTTTTGGATACAGAAAATACTTCAAGACCTCAACATGGTGACAGCTATCTACCATCTACTGACTACTGAGAAACTTGTTTATGGAACTCGACCTTCTGGTTTAACATGTTGCCATCCTCACATATTACTCTCTTTTAAATATTTCATAGAACTATTTCAACAGTTTTCTTGGTTCTCTTTGAGATCGTTTGTACGGAACCCCCAAAGGGACATGGGGAAAAAAAAGAAAATAAAGAAACATATGTCGTGAGCACGACCCATATCCCTTTAGGGGCTCTGTAGGTTTGGGACCAACATGATGCTATTTTTTTTTGGGGTTGCCTTTAATAATGTCTGGATAAACATTTGTTTATTTTGTTGTCAGGCTTCAATCTAATTGTTAAGTTAACTCCGTGATGAGGTTTAATTTTTAGCCGTCTCTGGACTAGACGTGTCATTGGTTAATTTTCAGATTTCTAATGGCTGGTTTTCTCTGGCTGAATCTCCAGTGAATAGCTTCAAAACCCACAGCTATTCAACTCTGACTTTAATTGACGCTTTTACTGACAGCAGCTTTAATCAGTCTCACTCACCAAGGTGACGCCTGGAGATTTTTTTTTTTTTAGCAGCGCTAACAACCAAGCATTCACTCGGTAAATTAGCCTTTTTTTCCGGGGCAAAGATAAAAAGGCAAATCATCAAGATAAATCATTATGACAGTCATTGTACAATGTTTTTAAAGGAATCTGTCTTTTGACTCAATTAATGTCTGATAACTATACAGAATCAGACTTTTTATTGACTTTAAATAGAAATGACTGACTGATAAAACAAAGGTTTAAAATATGGTACGTCAGAAAATGTCATTTAAAGAAAAGCACACTTTTTTTTTTCCTCATTTGAAATGAATTGTTGAAGAAATGACTGATGCCAGCCTGGAATTGTTTCACCTGTGTGGAAAATATTCTTCTTCGTAAAAAGTTTCAAAACTCTTTCTGAAGAGAATATTTATATTTGTCTGGAATACACATCTAACGTAGCAGTTATGTAGTAAACTAAGTTCGCTATTAGACAAATGCATCTAATGGAAAATTTGGCTAAAATTTAGCACAAACACAAAAACTGATTATAATTATATAATATATATATAATTATATATATACTATATAACTAAATATTAGCATTTTTTATATAATATATATAATTATATATATACTATATAACTAAATATTAGCATTTTTTATATAATATATATAATTATATATATACTATATAACTAAATATTAGCACTAAGAGTACCTCAGTTGGTAGACAGTATCGCAAAACCATGTGATAACTTTAAACAGATTAAAATCAATCAATACACTATCAGAACGACATGTTTAAGTTTTTAAATGTGAACAACAAAAAATGTTTTCATTACTTTGTCAAGCGATTAAACCTGAACAGAACGGTTCACATTATGCTGCATGTCCTCTCCTCAGAATCATTGTGTCCTTCAAAAAAATTGCAGCATGTTGTGTCTAATGGGGACAAAATTACCCATAATTCTCTCTAGTTTGTAAAAATTGTTGGACCAAGAGTAGCTCTGTTTTTTTTCCCTTAGCTTTTTTCAACCACGATGCTCTAAAATGACCAGGACTGTATGTTAGTTCCCCTCTACACAGTGGACTAGATCATTACAATAATAATAAATCTCGCTTGGTCCCAGTGCATTTCCTGACATCTGTGAATTTGTGGTGATTTTTACTGTTATGAAGTCAGTGTTTGTAGACTAGAGTCATAGAGCAGGAGGCGAGGAGACAGTCCTCAGAGGCCGAGGACACAGACACACGGGAGAGACAGGACACAGGACACATTACCATATACACACATTCAGGTGAGTAACAGACAGTGATCAAACACTAGAGCAGGGAGTTAGAGGTGGAAGGAAAGAGAAAAGGCAGGTCAAAGCTAGGGCTCGGGGCCCCCCACGGTGGCACTGGATGAATTAGTGCAGTTTACGACTTTGTTATGTTTGGGTGACCTTCTTCTTACTGTTGGTTAAATTACTGTTAGTTATGATTAAACTAAACTATGGAGTCGGGGTAAAAGTTAAGCTTAGCTGTATATACATCTTAACGCTACCTTAAGCTGCTACATAATAGCTAATCATTAGCTTTCCAAGTTCTTGTTGCTTGTTTTTGTTGTTGTTGTGCATTATAATACATTTGATGGAACTTTTTTTTTTTTCCACACACCACCTCCCGAATTGAAATACTTTTGAGAACCTGAATATGTATTTTCTTCTCTGCACAAACCAATGCGTGAGTTGCTGCCATCTAGTGACTGAAGGCTTGTTTATCATTCGAGAATTACAGCTGCGGGACACTTTTGTCCAGCCTCTCACACGTATTCATGTGCAAATGTTTCTTTTTTTTTACTGGGTGATCGACCTGACAAACAACTCCCGACTGGACTCATTAGGTTTGTCACAAACTGTTTATGGTCATCGCTGTCCGAAGCACAGGTAATTTGGCGGCGCTGCTAATTTTAGCCAGCTTTAATAGATAGTTCGATTCTTCTCCTTTTAGTTCATATGAACCTTTTACACAGCACTGTTGTTTGTAGCTTCTATTCTAGATGTATACATTAAAAAAAATCTTCACAAGAGACATCTTAAGATGAAAGAAAACTATGGTCATGTGGTGAAATTTTGAAAGTTCAATACACAAGTGATTTTTGGTTTAGAAAAGATTAGAAGATAAGGAAAAGATAGTAAAAGTACCAAACCCTCTATATTTTTGCGCACGTGAAATCTTGTCATTAGATTAAGACAATATTGAAATAATGCAAAGAATATAGAAAAAAATATCTCATAATAATGAAATAATATAATGTCAGTAATGAAATGATATAGTGTCAATAATGAAATAATATAACGTCAATAATGGAATACTTTAATGATAATAATGAAATGATATAATGATAATAATGAAATGATAAAATGTCAATAATGTAATAATGTAATGACAATAATTAAATAATATAATGTGAATAATGTAACAATGTAATGACAATATTGAAATGATAAAATGTCAATAATGTAATAATGTAATGACAATAATTAAATAATATAATGTGAATAATGTAACAATGTAATGTCAATATTGAAATGATAAAATGTCAATAATGTAATGACAATAATGAAATAATAAAATGATAATAATGAAATAGTATAATGACAATAATGAAATAATATGATAATAATGAAATAGTGTAATGACAATAATGAAATAATATAATGATAATAATGAAATAGTATAATGACAATAATGAAATAATATGATAATAATGAAATAGTGTAATGACAATAATGAAATAATATAATGATAATAATGAAATAGTATAATGACAATAATGAAATAATATGATAATAATGAAATAATGTAATGACAATAATGAAATAATATAATGATAATAATGAAATAGTATAATGACAATAATGAAATAATATAATGATAATAATGAAATAGTATAATGTCAGTAATGGAAAGTATTGTAGTTTAATCATTGTCTGTTTTTTTTTTTTATTCTGAGCAGTTACAATAAATCCTTTCAAACAAAAGGAAAAGAGGATTTAGGAGAGGAGTCAAAGAGGAAGAATAAAGTAGAGGAGACTCACGGTGACTGAATGCTGTTGATGGACGACCTGCGAGAGATTGCATCTTGATTTTGCTTTACAAAACTGTACATGCAGAACAAAAAACACACACACAAAAAATATCAGACACAAGTGTGGAGGGGTCAGGTGGTCTGCCGGGTCACCTGACCTCTTGTCCTGTCAGACACTCAAGGATTGATCTGTACAATAACAGCGGCAACAAAAGTGGGAACTCCTTCTAACAGCACAGACTGAAGCAGATGAGACTGAAGCACAGGGTTTATCACAGGAACACGGCGACACAGTGACCTGTTTCTGTCTCTGGTTTCATTTTCTTCAGGATAGTTGTTTAAAAACGTTCCTCATGTCTACAGTCGTTCCGTGATGAGACCCTGATTAGACATAAATGGCTATTCATTGTTCACTACAAATGAGAGTGTTTACACTGAAAACAAAACATCACAACAACGATTAAGGTCAATATGAGAGCGACGTGAAGTTGATGCTTCAAAGTTTATGGGGGGGAGGGTGAAGAAGGAGGGGAGCTGGGGTGAATGGTCAAACAATTAAATAGTGTGAATTATACAGCTGTTAAACTGTAGGAGAGTGGTGTTACTTTAAAAGGTTTATACACAAAAGTCGGTTCCTGCGCTGGAATAATTTTAAAGTTCAACTCATGATGGCCGTTCAGAAGGTTGGCGGTTTGATTCTCAAGCCCACTTTGGGTCACAATGACAAACTGCTGTGTTGACTGCTAATGAATAAAGTTCAACTAATCAAGGCTTTATTCACTTTGTCCATTTACTGTGACTGTAAATTATTAGTTATTAATTGGCGAAATTGTTTATGACAGAAACACATGCATGAGAAATTATAGTCAAAACAGAGAACTTTAAAGTACTTTAAATACATAGTTTTATAGAAAACAATGATATTTAGTACTACTGTTTTAAATAATACATTTTAAATAATTGATTTCCGTAAATCTCAAGTAAAACATGTAACATTGTTGCATGTTATGTGATCAAATTAAATCTAAACCAAATCTTTTTTTACCACCAATGCAGCATTATGGCTCTGTCTAGTATGTCAAAAAAAAAATTTAATGATAAAAAGATTTAACTTCTCAGTCATTACAATGTTTAATCTGTATGTATCAGTACCTGTATGTACCTCGGAGTACTGGTTTGTACCCATATGTACCTGTATGTATGTGTACAGCAGGTGTTTGAACCTCATGGACTCTTGAACTTCCTGTTGGGCCCAGGGTCAGATTACCATGATTCAAACAAATATATATTTTTAAATGTTGTTTTCTTGCACATGTGACTGCGAGAGCACAAAAAAAATTTGGATTTGTCTTAGTCGAACTGTTGTTGAGGTCATCAAGTATGAGGTGAGCCCTGGGGGACAATAACATCATTCACTGCTGGGATCAATGGTGGGAGAAATGTAGGGTGAGTTGAAAGAAGCTGCAGCAGAAAAAGAGAAAATCTCAGAGAGGAGACGAGGAGGACAAAAACAGTAAAGGACAGACAAAAAGCACACACCCCCAGAGAGTGAGGACAGAAGACACAGAGGGAAGATCATCGCAGGCTTTAGACCAGCCTCCGGGGAGACACAGATTCTCTGAAAACTTACGCAGCAATGGAGATGTTGGCCGCAGACATCGGACTGACCTCCTTCACCTCCAAGGCCTTCTGCAGAGCCAGCTTCTTATTGGCTGCCTCCTCCTGTTCCTCTTCGTCCTGTAACCGAGACAGACATTTTTATTCTGACTGGTGATTCAGAATTAAAGTAATGTATTTGTAAATATAAAACCTGATTACTGAGCCCACCTTTGTCAGCTCCTGCGCGTTGGCCAGGTTGTCCACAGCAATGGCCAAGAAGACGTTGAGGAGCGTGTCTGAAGGACGGTGTAGCTCAGGAGGAACACACAAAGATCAGAGTAACACCTTGGTTTTTACTTTGGTCACTGACCAAGCAACTGAAGCAGATGATCCCAAATCACAACATGGAATCAACATCTAAACAGTGTCCCAAAATGATACAGTTTCCAAACAGCGTCAGGACGATGAAGTAGATGGAGGAGAACATGCCGCGCCGAACGCCTCCCTGGGACTCAATGCCATGGTACATGACGGCATTCCAGTCTTCACCCGTCAGAATCTGATGGAGACAGAAGAGTAGACAAAAGCCCAGAAGATACAAGAAGGCCATCTGTCAGGAGAACAGGACTAAAGATCTGTTCATCACAGAGGGGAGGGGGTCCAAAAAGTGACTGCTAGAATGATCACAACACTGCAATAACAATCCCAGGCAAGACATGTGACCTACAGTAACCTGGTCTGAATAAATAAATAAATACTCCTCTGTTCTTACGAAATGTAATCTAATCCAAGGCAGACGTTTTACCTGGAACACTGTAAGAATGGCGGCAGGAAAAGTATCAAAGTTTGTCGTCGGGGTCTTATTCTCAAAGTTGAACCTATAAGAAACAGAAAGAGAACAAAGCCATCAAAGGTGGAGGTAAGAAGAAGAAGTTTTAGAGTTTGGTGCACGAGGTGAACATGCAACAGTGTAACATGAAAGTGAACTACTTGTCACTGTGACAGCCCATCACTGCAGACAACGAAATATGACCTCTGTGTTGTACCCATCACCAAAGTGAGCAGGAGGGGAGCAGTGTGTGGGGATGGTCCCATTCTCAATGCACCTCAGTGGTAACCTAGCAACTGGTGGACTCAAACCTGAAACCTTTCAAACCCAAGTCCGGTTCCTTCACCACCAAACTACCACTGTCGCCTTGTACCATGTACATTCAGTCAGTAAATACAGAATAAAACACCTTGAAAAAGGATGCAATCATTCACCTCTCACCAATTAAACTGATGGACACCTGTACCTGAAGTTCCTAAATTTGCCAGCCAGATGAAGATGAATAACTATATGTCCTGTTGTATTTGTTAAAATAAAACCACTTAAAGTGCACTCTCTAATTAGCAGAGGTGTGGACTCGAGTCGCATGACTTGGACTCGAGTCAGACACGAGTCATCAATTTGATGGCTTTAGACTCGACTTGACAAACTGTAAAGAGACTTGGAACTCGACTTGGACTTTAACATCAATGACTCGTGACTTCACTTGGACTCGAGCCCTTTGACTCGACAAGACTTGAGACTTTCTCCAAAACCCAAAGTGATCTGTGTAAATATATTATTATTAAAAGGACTCGAAACAGAAACGGCAGGACTTGGGACTTGACACTTTTTAGTCTTGACTTGGACTCGACTCGGACTTTGCCTGTCTTGACTTGAGACTTGACTCAGACTTGAGTGCAAAGACTTGAGACTTACTTATGACTTGCAAAGCAACGACTTGGTCCCACCTCTGCTAATTAGGTTCACCTTACAGTAGGTGGCATATGAAATACTTTAGCTTGTTTACCTTAAGAGTTATTTAAAGTAAACAAACTGAATGTGAATGTTTTTTATGTACAGTGGGGCTTCGAGATACGAGCTACCTGAAATACGAGTTTTCCAAGTTACAAGTAAGCGACTATTGCAAGATTTTCTTCGCGATACAAGAAAACATGGAGTTACGAGTGCTCAACTGAGCTCCATTTCGACACCCGTTCTCTCTCTCTCTGTCTCTCTCTCTCTCTCTCTATCATCTAAATACAGTCCTCACTCCCAGTCCTTCTCCTACACTTAGTGGCCCAATACTCTGTTGCCCCGTCTCGCTCACTGTCTCTGGCTTGGTTATTTTACCCATGTTTATAACAATAATAAAAAAATGTTTTCCTAATTATTATTATTTTATATTATCAATATATTTGTTTATATCTATGTTTTAGATTTTTTAGACGGGAGTATTTTTAATTTAATTATTTAATAGTATATTTCCAGGGGTCTGGTTGGAATTAATTGGCTTTAAGTTATTTTTGATTGGGAAAATCCAATCGAGATATGAGCGGCTAGAGATCGAGTGCTGTTGTGGAACGGATTAAACTCTTATCTCGAAGCCCCACTGTACTGTGTTTAAAACTGAAGCAACGTGTGACTTTGAATATGTGGCTTTGTTAACCCGTCATCACTTATCAAGGGAAACACGTGGAGACATAAGGTTTGGACCACGTAGTGGTCTAGTTCAGGCTAAAAATTAAATATTCATATCAGACGTGTCATAAATAATTCATTACAAACATATTAAATGATTAATTCACCATTTTTAAATAGAATGTTTTACTAAAAGAGACTAACAGTTTGTGATAAAAAAATGCAAAACTTGTGTCTGCCTTCATCGGTTTATAAACTATAAATACAAGCGACTTGTTTCTTGTCGACGCAGGAAGGAAAATGGAGGGAGATGGAAGAGAGGAGAGAAGGAGGAGGAGGAGCCATCAGTTGATACGCCTTACTTCTGGTATGTCGTCAGGAAGTCTCTTTGCTCCTTATGCCCCTCTACTTTTGTCCTCCTCTGTCTCATTAGTGCGTCTTCTAACATGACTCCTGCTTCTCCCTCTGCTCTATCCTCCTCTCTTTGGTTTCCACCCACTTTGTCATCTGGACCCAGCACTGAGAGCTTGAGGAGGAGGAGGAGGAGGAGCAGCAGCAGTAGTCGATGTCTGTGTGTGTTTGTGTGTTTGTGTGCATGTCTCTGTGCTGTGATTAGCCCCAACAGGGATTTGGACCACGCAGCTCAGTTCCTGTGTATCAGCCACAGGGACTTGGCTAAATCAGGACTGGAAACAAGGATTAGGTGAGGGTTAGGAGTCACCACCTCCTGCCCTCACACCTCCTAAATCTGTGGCAGTAGGGGCAGCAGCTGGGGCAGCAGCCCCGGGGCAGCAGCAGCAGCTTCACTGTTGGACAGCTGTCTTCATTTTCTCTTTTTAATTCTACATGAATAAAACATCCTCTCAGTGGCCTTCAAACATTGACATTTCTTCCCTTCCTCGTTGCTTTTAAGACATTTGGATTTCTTAAATATCCTCTTTTTAGTCTCTTTTTACATGATGACTTTTGGTTTTGTTTTAAATGACTTTACATATTTATAACCATTGATCTTTCTCTGATCTTCTGGACATGTGAAAAAGACTAATTATAGTAAAATACTAGTAATATCAACATTTGTATTTCTTCTGAATAAAAGAACATGTCCACAACAGGCAGCAGCAGCCTGAGCGGTTGGTATTTGAAGGTCAGAGCAGGTTGGACTCCAGGTCTTTGATTAGACCAGGAGGTGGTCCTGTCATTAGACCACATGGAGTTTCCTGCGAAGACTGATATCAGAGGAGTGAACTCTGAGCTGCCGCTGCTTCTACAAGGCTGTGACCACACACACACACACACACACTGAGTAGGGTACAAGAAGGTGTGGATCAGGGTAAAGGAGGCAGTGAAGGGGGTGGGGGGGGTCAAGAAGAACACTCACTGTCCTCCAAAGAGCTGCATCCCCAGCAGAGCAAAGACCACGATGAACAGGAAAAGAAGGAAGAGCAAGCTGATGATGGATTTCATGGAGTTGAGGAGGGAGACCACCAGGTTCCTCAGGGAGTTCCAGTATCTAAGAGGAAACAGCAAACACTCAGAAGAATTAGGGTTTTTTTTAATTATTATTATTTCTGGCTTTATTATTGAGCCATTTTGTCACATGCGAGTTATTGTAGAATAGATAGATAGACGAGTCAGGGCTGAAGGGGTTGACACGGTTAGCTTAGCCAAGACTGGGAAACACTACAATGAATGCGGTTACTACACAACATACTAGCACAGCCAACATGTCTTCTAATTTGCTTTGTATTTGCACACGTTTTTTCACTTTAGGAGGTTTAAGATATCCACCTATCTTTCCTAATGTTATTTGTATATTTATTTATCCATCCATCCATTTTCATCCGCTTATCCGTTACCGGGTCGCGGGGGCAGCAGTCGCCACCCAAATCACTATATTTATTTATATTTATAATTTTTTTTGTATAGTGGCGCTTTGGCCCAGAGGCAATGTCTCTTATTTCCTAAACAACTATGTCGAAAGACACATCCCCTAGTCGTGGAAAAGATGTTAGTCTGTTTGAGAAGGGTCAAATCATTGGCATGCATCAAGCAGAGAAAACATCAAAGGAGATTGCAGAAACTACTAAAATTGGGTTAAGAACCGTCCAACGCATTATTAAAAACCGGAAGGATAGTGGGGACCCATCGTCTTCGAGGAAGAAAGGTGGCCGGAAAAAAAGAAGAGAGGCAGGGGGAGGGGAGGTTGGTGACTTTGAAAATCCTCAGCAGACGCAGAGCTCTCAACACGCTGATCCCAAACGATGCTCCAGGTTTGATCATGTCCCAGATGACCTCGAAAATACTTCCCACAATCACCTGAAAAGCAGAGGACGAAGTTATAGTTTGAACACCTCTGATGTCATCATTGGTCGACGTACAACCTGAAGTTCCACCTACCCCAAAATCAAAGCAGTTAAAGGAGGAATGGAAGTAATTTCTCGCTCCGAGTCCATACATCTTCAACGTCATCTCAGTGAGGAACAAACCCAGAAATACAAACTCTGCTGTGTCTGGTTTAAGGGTAAAAACAAATATTTTCATTATGTGTTCATCGTTGTGGAAGGTTATAAGGAGCAGATGTTCTGACTGAAAGGTGTTTAAGTAGGTGAAAAGGAATTGTGCAACCATCTTTTTAAACTTAAATCTAAACTTAAATCTTTCTAACAAACCTACACTTCTTATAATATTTTTTAGTCAGCACTGGTTTAGTTCTGGTTCGGACTTGGCTCAGATGAAGCCCACAGACCGACCTCAGATCCAACAACATGACTACAATACAGCATGTGTGACTCACACAGGGCCGTTGTCAGCCACTCAGGCTGGTCATAGTGAACGATGGCCACACACAGAGTGTTGAGTCCCACCAGACACAGGACGATCCAGTAGAAGCTCTGAGCTTTCACCATCCTTCGGATGAAGAAGCGAATTCTCTTCTCCTTACGGCGGAAGTAGGTGGAGCTGTCCAACTTTCCTCCACTTTTAACACTGGCTCGACCAAACGGAGAACCAGGAGGAGCTGGAGGAGAGGAGAAGTGGTTTGAATATCTGTGATTTTTGGGTTTTAGAGCTTTGTTTTACCGTTGGGCCTCATTTTTGCTTTTTTTTTTTTTTTTTGCAGCCGCTTTGTCAATCGATGTTCTGCATCAATGTCCACTGAGAAAAATCTCATTTTGAAATAAAACACAGTATTGACTGTTGGTCCACTGCTGTCTGTAGTGGTCAGTTTGCGCCACTGAGGTATATGATGATAATGAACATTAACTAATAGAGGCAGGAATGGTTCAACAGCACCTGTGTGAGTTAAGATGTGTGAGGACAGAACTGACGTCTGACACTGCAGTAAAGGTTTGATTCAGTTCTATTTTCCCAAGTTGCACCAGAATTACATCTTGTGAGGCACATGGTGCCTCAGGTCAGAGAATAAACATAATGGTGATAGTTAAAAAAAAAGGTATGTCTGTGACTTCATGTTCTTCAAGTGACAGAAATAAATCAAACAACAACAACAACAACACTTGTGGATTTCAGTTTAAATCCGAGTATGTAACCAATAACTGCAGGTTAAGAAAGTTTGACATCAAACACTTTTCTTGTCTTTGCATTAAATTGTGACAGAACGCGGTGGTGAAATGAGATATCTGCTATCTGCTGGAATACACTTTTTGTAATTTAAGAGACAAAATAGTTTAATTATGAGGCTTGGGTTTTAATTTCTAACACATACAAGAAATTCCAAGGTATCTCAATCGGTCTACTTATTTATTATAAATTACTATTTTTAAAATGCTGCAGGGGATTTTTCATCTGGTCTTAAATTCAGAGTCTAATTGGAAAGTGAGTTAAATTACACTTTTATTCCCCGGAGACACAACAGTGTGTGTGTGTAGACCTTCATGATGCCTAATGAGAACATTGTTTGGCTGCAATGATACAGTAGAAACTGTCAAAACAGTAGAACAAGTCAAATTAGTAAAAAAGCACAGCCTCATACAGGACGAAGTCAGTTGATCTTGCTGTATTGGCTGGGTTTTTTTTAGCACAAATGTAAATATATACATTTATTTTTATTGTAGAAAACACCAATATATCAAAGCACATAGGTGTTTCTTTTTTCATTCACTACTGTCATCATTATAAGGGTTCATTTTTTATTTTATTTTATGGTGCTTTTGTTTAAACTTTTCCGTAAGTTTTGCCGCAGAAACACAAACCTACCACTTGGGGCAGAAGTCAACCAGCAGCTCCTATTGTCTTGTAGGCTAAACGTGGGAATTTTCTGTATGGAACTTGTTTTGGAGCGTGAGTTTCGAAGTGAAAAGGGCTGAGAAAGACTTAAAAAAGACCTAATATCACTCCAGTCTTTTTTATTTAATTTTTGGTGTCGGGTTTTTTTTTTTGTGGTATTTTTCAAACAACCATCTTCCCAAACTCACTGAAGTGCATTTAAAATGAAAAAACAAAACAACTATCCTTTCCAGAGACCTTCAGGGTAAAGGTCATGAGTTATTCTGGGACTAAAAATTCTCACCAACTGATGAGATGTCAGCAAAAGGATCTTCTCCCTCCTCGGCACCGATCAGCTCGTTTTTACCTTTCTTAGCTTTGCCTCGTTTCAGAACTAGGACACAGACAGGACAACAGACTCTAATGTTACAACAGCTTCAGACAGTAGTGTTTATGCATCTGCTACATGACAGAGGGAACAGACCATCATATAAATAAATCATGTCGAGATCATACTGAAATAACATTGTCCGTATTAAGACGTTGCTGAACCACATCTTCCACTCACTGTTAAATTAAACTGCACATTTTTCCTCCTCATTTGAATTCATTTCATGTAACTAATAACTTAAGACAAGATTCACTAAAAGCATCACCTTGGAGTAGCTTACTGTGTGTGTGTGGGTTTAAGAGAGAGAGAGAGAGAGACAGAGAGCTAGCTTACTGTGTGTATGTGGGTTTGAGAGAGAGAGAGAGAGAGAGCGAAGGTCCATGTGTGCATTAACAAATTCAATCATCCACACTGTTAATTCCAGTAATTAACCCTTGTCTTAACATCAGCTCAAATGGACTGACAGAGTGGTTGAGTGAGGTAGATAGACAGACAGAGAGAGAGAGACGGGGATAGGGAGTAAAGAGCAAAAGGAGAGAAAGACTGAGAGAGTGACATTAAGAGAGAGAGAGAGAGAGAGAGAGAGAGACCAGAGTTTAATCCCAGTCAGTTCTCTCCATAATTACAGCTTTTCAGCATCCCTCGCTCGCTCGCTCTTCCTGTCTGTATGATTGCACTCATTTTATTCATACAAGTATATTAAATACTGCATGACATCAGTTTCCTCAGGCTTCAGTTTACTGCAGATTCAGAGTACAGCTAATACCTACCTCAACACTATCTTCTTCCCAAATATAAAATTTGAAAAAATATTCAAACAGGTAAAGATGAAATACATCTCTCATAAAGGTATTTACTGTAAACAGGCATGTCGAAGTTCTATTCCAAAAACTGTCCTTTAATTAACAATAATTAAAAGACATACAAATGATGGAAAAGTTAACATATAAGTTGAACCTGAATAAAGAACGTTGCATCAAAGATTGGACAAAATGTTATCATATGTGAAGAAGGAATTGTAAATATGACTTGCATAATATTTGTATTTTTTTTTCTTCCTTATTATTATTATCTATCCATGTTACTGTTTTACATACACAAAAAACTTTAAATAAAAATGTACAAAACAAGTCCTGCCCAGCCCTGTTCTCACCTGGAAGGTTCTGTTTCCTCTTGTACCAGGCTCCATCCAGAGGTGACTTCTCCTCTGCAATCTCATCCTCCTCCTCCAACAACACCTCCTCTGCAGCAGGAGAAATCAGAGGGATACAGTAAAAAACCTATTTGGCCTACATGACAAAGACACAGAGAGACTGCGACGAAGATCACATCTGACCTGCTTTACAGATCCACTCCAGGTATCCTGTCAGTTCTCTCTCTATCTGCTGCTGACGTCGCAGCTTCAGGAACTCCTGTCGCTTCTCCACGCGCTCTCGCTCTTTAGCAAATTCTCTGTTAGAATAACGATATTATCATGGTTTCTTTCACATATATCTGGTCGGAACCCTACTCTGTTCATCTGGACACCAGTAGACTGGTGATCAGGAAGAAAACAATTGACCAAGGTTTTCTCCCCATGCTGACTATCTAAATTATTTTAGTTAAATACATTTAAATTTGAATTAGTGCACCAAAACACAAAGTGCAGAATATTTCATTTGAACCTTTTATGACATTGATGCATATCCACTGAACAAAATATTTTAAATTACAATAGATATTATTATATTATAACATATGCACAGACCTACTACAGAACATCATTGACAACAAAGAAAATGGGTTTCACGTCCGCACGAGAAACAATCACGTGAGCACAAGTTCCTACTGTACTGTAAAATATTGCACGAGGGTGAGAAACTTCTTGCCGTGGAGTGGTGAGAGCACGAGAAAATTATCTTTTACGCATGAGAAACTTCTTGCCGTGGAGTGGTGAGCTGAGTTACGTGGCAGTAACGTTCTTTCCAGTTTGGGAGTTAGTAAAGGAAACTATTTTAAGAGTTCTGCTGTGGATTTGTATCAACGAACGAATTAATTGGTTTTTATTTATTTTTAATGGGGAAAATGCAATCGAGATACGAGCGGATCGATATACTGTACGAGTGCTGTTGTGTGAAGTTTTCTTCTGGTCCTTTGACAGAATGACCATTAGGGGAGGACCTTAATCAGGGAGGCTTCCTTAAATTCCCGAAGGGAACTCCTGAGGGATTCATAAAGTTCTTTAATAAAGTTCAGCTTTAGCACAGCCCCAAAACATTGAAGTGGCGGCTGGTAAAGAAGTGGTCTGGTCTTAACACAGTCTTTTTTTCTTCTTCAAGGGAACAGGCTTACATCAGTTAGCACATGGTGACAATATATCAGGAAACATCTAGCAATGATCGTGGTCAGGGACAAGAAGCCTAGTGTGTTTACCGGGGCAGAGACAAGGGGAAGGTCGAACGCTAATCAGGTTGGGTTCAGAGAAACAGTCAGGAAACACGTGCTGGAAAGTCTGCATGGGAGCGATGATAATCTGGCAAGAAATGGAGGGAGTGGAGCTGTATATGTACTGGGTGGAGTAGGTGGAAGCAGACTCTGACAACTTTCTCTGACCAAATGGATGAATGCATTTTCAGAACTGCCTTTGCGGTCAAAACTAGAGGATGAGCGGAACTCCTGAGCGGAAGGATCTGCTTTCAATGCCTTTTAGTTCCGAATAGTGAGAGAGTCTGAACCAACGCAGGCATAAAAAGAGATATAATATGTTTAAATATATGTAAATGTATAATGTGTCCACAACAAGCGGCGTTCAAGTATAGTACAGAAATTTGAAAAAAATGACATTAAGGCACTGAAAAGGAGCGTTTGGTCCAGGGCTGTTTTGACAGGATTAAAAAAGGTGCTTTGATGCATGCTTAATCCTGGGTATCCTTGATGTTTTGACCAAAGCATGTTATAGACCTTTTTTCTAAGACACAAAGAAGTTGATTTAATAAACAGAAAAGGGACATAGACTGCAAATGTTTCAAACAAGGTCAAAATTGAAATATAATATTTTAGTTCGGGGTTCATATAGTTGAACATCCGACTGCACCAGGCATGAACCTCGTGGCACGTCACTGCCCGGAAATGGCCCCCAAATGACCTAATGATCATTCCGTAAAGGTGCGACCATGCTGATTCAACTCGCTGCCTGTCTTTGGGCACCTGTTTCTATAATGTCAGCGCGCTGGATTTGTGATCAACAACACAAAAGGAACATTTTCTCATGCGCACTTCAAACTTTTATTCATTTATTTGTTTATATATATATATTTATCGTGCTCATGTGATTGTTACTCCTGCACACTTTAAACCTTTTTTTTTGTTTGGTCGTCAAATGATGACATATTGTAGACATATTGTACATGCGGTAGTATTATTAAAACGGGGACCGTGACGTATGTATTTTCTCCTGATATGTTCATGCAAAGCTCCAGTCTGTTTACCTTTGTGAGAAAATGAGCTGTAAAAAGGTAAAACCCATAAAAGCACAAACGTTTATTTGAACAGCACAAACGCGGCACAAACGATAGAGACTAATTTGTCAGGCGTGTGAAAAAAAACAAGCTGTAAAAACGTAAAAAAAAAAAACCCATAAAAGCACAAACGATAGAGACTAATTTGTCAGGCGTGTGAAAAAACAAAAGCTGAAAAAAAGAAAAAAAAAAAAAAAAAAAAAACCCATAAAAGCACAAACGCGGTACAAAATATAGTGTGATTTGGACGCGCAAGGTGGGAGCTGCGTGACGTCACAGATCAGAAAAGGTAATTTATTTTATCACTCCAAAGCTTTAATAGATCAAATGAACATTTTTACGACACAAACGTAGCACAAACAAACACTATAGCACTACGACGCTTCGAATGTGTCTTGTTCTTTTCTCAAATAGTACTTACAGTTACAGTGTGTCTTCTCTTCGTTAACCATATACCAAAAATAACATTGAATCAGATATATCCCTGCTTGAGGAATGTTTTTAATTGAACAAATTGACGAGAAGATTCCCGTTTTTGGCTTCAGTTTGCCTTCAGATTATTCTACAACCGGATCCACGTTTACTTTGATTGGATTTCCGGTTCAATGCCCCGCTTTCTAACAAACACATTTCCGGTTAGCCGTCCCGCCTCATAGCCTACAAAATATTGCTATTCTACTCATTGTTCCTACGGTTTAAGTGACAAAATCAGCGCTAATTGCCCCCTGCTCCCTTTCACTCATTTTTGCTTTTTCATTCTTCCTTTTTTATTTCGGTCTTACGGCAACATGTCCATTTTCCTTTTTTTGTTTTGCCGACTAACGCAACAAAGCAATGGTCTTCATGAAATTTTTGAAAATGTTTATATTTTTATATTTATTGTCATAGTTTATTCGAGATATAACGATTGTTCTCACCCTGACAGGACACCGAGAACCAGGTTGAGCATGAAGAAGGAGCCGATGATGATGAGAGGGATGAAGTAGAGCCAGTTCCAAGTGTTTCCTGCGACATCATTGGTCTGCACGCACACACACAAATAGTATACATCTCAGTGTGTTTATGCTAAAATGCTTTTCAAAATGGCCCGTATTTTTTTTTGTAGATTGGTGGTGTGAAAAATAAATGCTGAAAATGTCACTAATCAGCACAACAAATGGAGCAGATGGAATGGATGTTTTGTTTTGAAACTGGAAAAGGCTGCAGCTGCTGATGACGGTGTGCATGAAATTGTCTGTTTTCCTTCTCATTCCGTGCTGAAAATAATGTGTATTTATATTTGAAAACTTTTTTCTATAAACTCCCCAGGGTTGTGTGAGTTTGGGGAAATTGTGATCCGTCAGAAAATAAAATCACTCTATTTTTTCCAGGTTGAATGACAGCTCAAAAATATTTTCACATTGACCGAATAAATGAACCTTTCGCTTTACCATTGTGATTCGGTTGCCATTGTTGTAGTTTTAGCCAAATAATGTTCATTTTTACCGATTTGTGAATAACTTGTTTGATTTTGCTATTGCTAGCAATTCCTACAATAACTACGGGTGTTTTACGTAGCTAGGGCTAATTTGTGATGGCATGTCAGGGCAACTACTGTGTTTTAGAGTCATCATTTTTGTTTGGCTTTGTAGACGACTCACATTTAGCTATTTTTTTTTTATTTAACCACTGTTTGTGCCTAGACAATTTTAAAAATAACTGAAAAAAAAAACTTTTTCAGCTAACATTTAGCTGAACTCACTCTGAGATAGCATTTTAGTTATTTAAATCCCATGTGGTCACTGTTATGGTTATTTTTGAGTAAAATAAGAGTTTTCCATATGATCCTCACTAAAGTTTAGTAAAGTTTTCCATATGATCCTCACTAAAGTTGTACTAGAGTTCTTCTTCTGTGGTTAGCTACTTCATGCAAATATCTGAATCTTGGGTTCTGTTGAAATTGGCGGGAGCCGACAGAGACATATTGATGCCTCTGGGCTGCCTCACTACAACTGGGAGAATGTTGAGGCTCATTTTCTCCCAGGGGATTCTGGGAGTCAGCCCGCCTCCAGGTTTATTAGCAGGTGGGTGGAGCCAGAAACGGATTTTTTTTTCATGAGGCATAGTGACACTTTGCAGATGCCAGCGCTAAAATCACAGGCTGTGATTGCAGTGGGAGGATCAGGGTGGCTGAATAAGCAGGAGGGCAGGACGTACCTGAGTGTGTGAGATGAACACACTCTCTCACACACACACATACAGAGAGAGAGACAGAAGCAGCAGACGCAGTATAGGAGAAATGTTCGACAGAAGCTTCACTTTGTCCAACATCCTATCATCTGACGTGCTGGTTTCATCCCTCACAGCTCCGACCGTCTGTCATTTATCTCTGACAGCACCGTCACCAGACCAGATTTATTTCCATTTTACATAAACATGAATGAAAATGAGATGGAAACATACAATCCAATTGAGGTGACGTATGGGTGTTTTTACTCAGTGAATCCATTAATGGGGGGAAAGTGCAGCACAGCCATTTCCAACAGGTTGGTTAGACCGTGAATATTTTTTAGGATTGTTTCAAATGTTCTCTTTAAATGTTTTTATTTAAAAATCTAGATTAAGACATAGATTTTCTTAAATGATTTTATCAGAATAAACACGGTTAAATATGAAGTCAGTCTAAAAAGTCAATACAGTAGCAAATGTGGTGTTTTCTTTTTTGTTGGCAAATGTGTGAAGAAGTCATGTAATTTTTTTTTTAAATGATATTTTATATAATTTACAGCCCTTTTCTCCACAATATTGGATGCAGGAGCAATTAAAGCCACCATCAGGCTAAATCTGTTCCATCCAAAAACATTAAATATACTGTGTATTACCACCATTGACAAGGGGGTGACAGATAATAAACAATCTTGCACATGATAACGAATACCTCCAACAACCTTATTTTGTTTTGTCTTTTTTTTTTTTTTTTTTTTCGGGACAAAGTTCAGCGTTACAACTACAAACAGCCTTCTCTTAAAAATCTAAACCCTTGACCAACAGTAAGAGCACTAGAGGGCTTCATACCTCTGTTCTTCCTGTTACTCAAGCCCACCGCTGCTACAGAGCTGTAGCAGTGAGTCTGCAGGAGCTGTGTGACCGAAAGCACCCACGCTGAGCTGACACACGCGCACACACGCACACACACACACACACCGAGTTGTAGCCAGGAAAGCCTGCTGTGATGTGGAAAACCACTCTAAATCATCTCTGAAACATCTATACAAGAAGCAAACGGAGCTCAGCTCAGTTGGAGACCACCATGTAAGAGATGAAGATGATGAAGAGGATGATGTTCTAACAGAGGGAGAGAGAGCTTTCACTGTAAATCTAAAAAAAAAAAAAAAAAACCCTTGATTTCTTGATTTTAAATTTTTGGCTATTAATGCAATTTGGCTAATGCTAAACTATTGTGTTGTGTTTAAGCTGGTTTAGGGCTAACTTTAAGCAGATCCTTGAAATTCATTTTACTTTTAGCCATGGTTTTTATTTTACTTTGGACCTAGTTTTGGTTTATTCTGACTTTTTAATAGCCATAACAATAATTTAATTAATTTTTCCTACACATTAGCCATCGTCAGCCTATTCTAGGCCGACCTTCAGCTAAACGTAGTAATATTCTGGTTACTTATTTATTCGTCAGTCGGAAACAAAACCTTCTGAAATTAAACTTCCCATAGGCTGAAAATCATGAGCTGTACGTCTTATGGATCCGTTTTATTTCCTGGTTCAAAGGTCATCACCCAATGAAGAGAAGCAGTATTTAAATGTTTTTTACCATCTACAATGTAGATTCGAGGTCCATTCATTTAGCTTGTTTCACGTAGAGTCTACATGGAACAACCTTGTTTAGTCATGAGTGTTTTAGGGGTATTCAGAAACCTATGTTTCCCTGACTTCTGTTTTTTTTTTTTAAATGTGTGTGTTTCCTGTATTTGTTGAAATTATTTTGGAATGTATGAACATTAGTAACCCTACCAGTTCCATAGGTCTTGGAACTGTCAGGGTTACAACCCTAACAGAAAACTCAGTTTTTCATGGTGAAATTAATTAATTAATTAATTAAGACCCAAATATCTTTCACCTAAATTTTGTAAAACACGGTCAAATCGACATATAATTAGTTTAAGGCCAGAACCAGCATGGTAAGGACAGAAGGGAGTTTTCTTTCGCATCATCACACAGCAGCGTCTGAGCCCAACGAACCCCCCCCCACCAACCC